GCGGATGAGGTGGATGAGAATGTATTTTTGGTCAGAAAGATCTTTGCAAGAAGAATATTGATCTGGAATGTTAGTCAATGCAAGAAGAAGCATGAAGTAATCCTCCATCTGTCATATGCAAGTTCTCGGCTTGTCTTCGGATCCACAACCACACTATCGAAAAAAATAGATCACGACGCTCTTCATAAAGCAGTCGGAATACGGCATTGAAATGCATCTTTGTCGCCATTCCTTGACTTATCACTTTATAGCCTGGACCACAATGAATGGTCACAAATTAGCTAGGGTGCAGAGGCATGGCGCGTCCTATACGGTATCGCTATGGGAATGCTACTCAATTGAGTTAGAGCGCTTATTTCTTAAGGGTTGACATCAGTCAAAGATATGAGGAAGTGTTTGACGAGGACAGTTACGATCGCATACGACAATGGGAGAAGCTCAAACATGGGATCATACCGACACAACAGAAGGTTAGTGCTCTTTTCTCACCACACCTTACTTTTACTTCCTTTCAACTTTATTCTTACCTCTTTTCAACCGTTGGTAGTTGATTTTTCATTGCTGAACGCTATCTTCAGTCTACTTTTTTATGGGTATTGGGCATGGCCTGGGTAATACCTCCCTTTCGATCCAATCCGATCCGTATGTCTACTTTACTATTTGTCTGTCTAACTGCCTGTTTGTCCATCCTTTTGCTGATTTGGTTAATTCCCTGTCTGTGTGAATGCCTGATTCTCGACTTGTCGGGCCTTTTGAACCGTCAATTTGCTTTTTTGTAAAATTTATTGCGATAGGGGAAGTTTTGGTTGCCTTTACCGTACTCCTTGATACTTCCTGTTAAGACCTTGTCGTAATATTCTTTAATTGGTATACTTTTTTTCTTATTTACAATCAAATTATTTTTCGACACAATTCAGACTGCTGTGAAGAAGTTTCTGTTCGAGGAAGAATTGGAAGCATACCGAAAGCTAAGGAATCAGAGCAAAGCCGCTAAACTTCTTGAGGCAGTTTTTCGAGGTGAGTTTTGGTACTGTCCCCCTAATACATTCACTTAATTAATATGGAAATCCAATCAGAATCTTTTTCATGATCTTTAGGAATCACTCTTCGGCATTATATCTTCCCAAGCCTTGGAGAGAAAGTTTTCTTCGAGTACCTACTGCAGAATACCTACTCAGAAGCAGTGAACTGTGTTGTAGAAATAGACGAGCCCGGTTTGAGGTATGTGCGGTTGCCATTACTAGCAGAGCTTCTCACTTCTTACTGTTTGACCAATGCCAACATTCAACCAGATCACCTGTTTGGCAATGATTTTTTCGGAGATTTCTCTGGAGTGAGCAATTCCACAATGAAATACGGAAGGGGGCTGGGCTCATGATCTCCTTCAGGAATCCTAGAAGTGCAGGAATATTTAATTCCAGCATAGTAACGGATACGGATGAGTGGAGCTTCTACAAACGTGCTAATTCACTGGAAACACCCATTGAGAAGAATCTGGTACTCCAAAATGGTGCACATTTGGAGATCTTCTTGAAGCCGATGGAAGCGGTCTATGTACCGTTCATCTACGATGATCTCAAAGCTACAAAACAACCTGACGGGCAAGTTGTTTCAACAAAGGTAAGGGAATATCTTTTCAGGTTGGAACTGAATGTTGTGTTACTTGATCACTATTGCTCGAACACTTCCCTTTCAAGGTTCTCTTCCGTCGATGGGATAATAGGTCAGCCATTTCAATACTGGATCTTCGCGTTGAACATCGTCCATATGCTCTTAATGAGACATATCGGTTCTTCAACGAAGCTGCATCAAACTGTGAACGATTCATAAAAATTCAAGGAATCCCAAGTGAGTGGTGTTGAAATCTGCTCTACAGAGTACTTATGCACTTTTACACCCCATTGTCATATATACTCATGCAACTGGCACGACACATTTGGTGGGGACTCATTCCTCATTGGCGATCAGCAGGGTCCTTAATCCCTACAGCAGCACCCTCTTAACTTTTTATAGCCTATAGGTGATTAGCCCACGTGCCATGTATTCCGGCTGGGCTCCATTATGAAAGTAAAGGCCGACCTACTGTAAGGGCCGGGGTCCGACCATCGTTCAGAACTTGCTTCCACCTCCATTTTTCCTTACCGGGAACGTTACGCTGTCGTTGTCTTTTTTAGTCTCGAGCTCTTTAGATTTGTCGAATTCCTGTGGATCGCAGAGGAACCACCCAACATTATTCATCATTTCAGTATAACTTTAACAATCAAAAAATAATTCTGGGAGGGGATATTTTGAAGCCTACTGCTTTTATCGATTATCTCCCATTATTATAGACGATCGCCGTATTGGAAGTGTACGATGTATTGATCCAAGCACAAAAGTTTCGCTGCAGAATCGAGGTGTTGAGCAGGAACTCGCCATTACGGTACGAAAGTCTGTAGGATGTTTCTATAGGTTTCATTGCTGATATCCGGAATGAGATGAAAGCTTCTAGAGGACTTTTTGAAAAGTCTTCGATGGCATTTCATTATTGAAGAAAAATGGTTTCATCTAAATCAAGGTGCTCACAGCATGTGGATCACCCTAAGGGCTTGTCTCAAAGGACAAATCATTTTTTATAAGCTCTTTTCTTTATTTAGCGCCCCCGCCTAGGTCGGAAGTGGGGTGATGTCAAGTAACGCATTTTTGAGCACGGGCATCGAATTCCAAGCTTTGCTCGTCTAGATCAACTAACCCTTCTGTTTGTTTGTGATCGGTCAATTGGTACCAGACTCGTCCGAATATAATGATACTGTCTTCGCTTAAATATGGTACCGCAAGTCATTGTAGAAGCCACACCTGCGTTCGAACCGCAATTAGAGCTTACCTTAGCATAGGAGTCAAATGCAGTAGTTATCTCAGAAAGGAGGTCGTTTAGGGTTAAATAAATATGTTCTTCATACTCTATTTGCAGGCTTTTGCCGGTGAGCCGACGTCAATTCGAACATTAATAGTACTGCTCTATGGTGATCGCTATGGATACAGGTACCCGTAAAAAATCACGTAAAAAAATTTGATTCCGTTTTGAATGCATTTCTTGATTGAGAAAAAATCTTTTGTTGTGATTGTGAAAGATGAAATCTATGAGAGATAAGCTTTGTATTGTTATTTGACGAGCTTATCAGAGAACGGGTAGGTTTATAGTTGGCGTGGGCTCTCTGGTTTTTAATCAATTCGAGAATGTTATGTGTCAAAGAAGTTTCCCGATTGTCGGCTTGAAAAGCCTGTAGTGGTCCTGTATCACATACAAACAGGGTAATTCCTCTTGAATGCAATCACCCAAGTATCTTCATAACCCTTCCTTCACAGACCTGAATTCCGACATCTCGATCTGGTTTAGCTATGGTCGCATTCCAATAGTGTTGTGCACCTTTCGATGTCCTTTAACTTTTTTCTAACTATTCAAAAGAACTGTTTAATGTTCAGTTCGATGGCTTTGAAATTGATCAGACCTCTCCAATCGCCTGAAAGTGTTAACACAAAAGTGTGAGCACGACATCCTTTGGAACTTTGTTGTAAAGCTGCCTTACTTCCTTCTTTTAAGCTGGCTGGTAATATGACAGCAACTCACAAAAAAAAATAAAGTAAGCTCACATCTGCTCGTAGCCATATTTCCTGTCACCCCAGAAGCCCTTTATTACAGCACAACAGCGACTTTGCTACTTTCCAGGTTGCTGTCAACATGGCGTATACTGATCCACTCCTTACAACGTATCGATCTTCATAGTACTATGGGTCAATCGATTAAGGTGCCAGTAACATTGAAAAGGTACGAGAATTAAAACCAGGCTCAAATAGTTCCGGAGGAAAAGATCATTGTATGTTCTGCGAGCGCGCACTTTGTGCGTGTGTGTCGCAGGCAGTCGCGATGCGGCTTGTTCATATGACGTTTTCGCCTCAACTGTAAACACGGCAAGCGGCAATCAGTCTTCATTCCGCCCGTATATGTATGTACTTGTTAGTAAAATGGCAGCATTTCTATAGCAGTATGAAATGAGAATGATAGAAGACGACATTACAGTTAGGGATATATGTGAAAGCGGCGATAAAAGCGTTATCGCTGGTGTACTTGCATTCCAACGATTATGGCAGTTCATTCAAAGCAATTGACAATTTACAAAAGACACGCCATAATTGTTGGTAATCAATGAATCAATCGGCAGATAATCCAGTGAGCATGAGCAAAACGGGTCGATCAGTAGCCGACTATTTAGTGGTTATGTGGACCAGCTAGCAAAATACGAGCGTGTCTTCCTATCGAAGGTTGTCGGTAGGTAGATATCCTTCGTGGTAGAGTACAGCTCTCGCCAGTCCTTGAAACGTCTATCCCAATACGATGGAGTTAGCCAGTAGGTATCAAGCGTTCGGTATGGTATGAGGCCTGAATTTCAATGTACAGAAGAAATAGTCATTCTTGGGATATTTTAAGCTTTAAAAATTAATTGTTTATAATTTTAACTGCGTAATTTTGATAGTGAACATGGAAATTTTTGTTTAGTTTTGAAAAAAGATTTTTTCATTGAAGTTTTCTTTCATTTTTTCTTTAGCCACCACACCTACAAATACAATCAACGAAATGCGAGTTTCCCAACATAGTTTAGATCTCCCTCCCATAGCAGTTGCGGAAAGGTTACTTCTGGTAACATAAGAATTTATTTGCTCCACTGCACAAAGCTGTAGACCTCCCTCAAAGTGAAAAGATACGGGTGCGACTTATTGCAGCTATTAACTGTGACCCCACGGGGGTGGTATCTTCTCCCCGAACGGTGTGCCGCACTCGCCGCACCCGATTGCGCGCAGTTGGGCGTTGTGGAAGGGGAAATTTGGATTTGCAGTGAAAGTTTGGAGAGAAAAACCACCGTCCAGACCCCACCATCATCAGTTCACATTCACTACCGCTACAAATATGCCCGTCGTCCAGCGTTGACAAGCGAGTGAATCAGGATAGAAACTTGGGGCCTCCGCTATCGAATATCGAGACCTCAGGAACGATATGTTTTACTATTCTTCGTTTTTCTACGCTCTACTTCTAATTCCAATCGAAATGTTACTTGGATGCACTCAGGTTGAACTTTTGTGAAATCAAAATTTTCTCGATTGGCCAAAGTAGGAAACGTGAATTTATTCGTTCAGAAGTCAGTGGAGGTGAAGCGAAATAAGAGAAAGCCACCATTTTAGAACTGGAAGAGAGAGAACCTTCTAGAGTGGCGGTTCAAAAAAGCGATTTCCCGCTGACCTACATGGAAACCACAAACCCGTTTGGTTGAGGGTAGGAAAGTAACATTGCGATTGGAATTGGTTAGTGACTATACGGCTAATTGGAAAAATTGTGATTGACACACCTTTTCTTGCTTATTTAGTGTACAGGTAGAGCGGAGAAAACGGATTAGTAGTACCATAGATATCGACCTAAACAAATCAAAAATCATCGTGTAGCTTTTGCGATGATCACTGTCGGCAAACTAGTGAACTCAACGCAAAGGCAGGCACGGTAAGGAGCTGAGTTTGAATTTCTGATCAAATTTTCCATTTTGTTCTTATTATCATTGTATTCTTCCTTAAATCCATTAATCCCATGTACGAAAAATTCCGAGTTTTTTGTTTGTCAGAATGTTCAACTAAGCTTACGATACCTGCCTTATACATGCTCAACCCACGCCCAAGAGATGTCGAAAGCGAGTCCAGTAAGTAGGATCTGAAATCAATAAGTTCTGTTTGATTTTGAAAAGAAAATTATCTATTATCTTCAAAAATAATACTAGGAGGCTATGTGTAACACCCACAGCAGACGGTAGTTAGCTCCAATTCAAATGTGATCGCGCCCTGGACGGGTTTCATCCAGGTCTATGTAAAATCACGCGTATAATATAGTTTATGGGATTGGAGCGCATTTAGTGGCTTGTCCCCCAATTGCGATTTTGTGAGTAGACGACGCGCACGGCTGCAAAGCGGCTGCCTCAACTATATGACGTTCCCGTGGGGACCACCATGTTTTCCTTTTTGTATCGCTCCATCATTTGAAGGCACAATTCACGATAATGAACCTCATGTGAAATAATGGAGGTCATGGTGTTAAATAGTGCAAAAATCACGAAAAAAGCCCGAAAATCGGCACTGTAGTAGGAAAGGGGGTTTGTGAGATTATGTGTCTGTAATTGTCTGGGTGTCTCCCACGTAAGCATACTTTTCATCGACGTCCTAACGTTTCATTGTGAATGGTGCAGCCTTAACAAGACCGTCATAAACACGGCCACTTTTGGGTATGTACCTTAGCCGAGCCGATTTTAGGGTGATAAAAACTTAGGTCGTATTTCGACTAGACAATGTCCCATGTGCCATCCATGACGGCCGCAGGTTCATCATAGGGGTAAACTTAGAAATCATTTTTATCGTGAACTGCGCCTTCAACAGCAAGGATGGATTTGGGAGACCAAGGGATGAAATGAATAACAGCTATATGCGATATGTAGCCTCTCCCAACGTTTGCAGAACAGTTCTACCGTTCATCCAGAGTGATGTGTCGTGCACTACATTTACTGCTCTAAAATCACTATGAATCACACACGTACGTATGGCGGATCGTCGAGCGATACCTGTAGGGGGTGTAGGTGTCGTAGAGATATCTGTAGTAGGCAGAATTCCAATAGCGGCGGTAGTAGTACGGATAGTCGTAGTCATACCTTAATTACGTAATTATTCTTAATGATAAGGGTCATTTTACAGCTATAATGTTAGTCCGAAGCCTAGGTCTTCTGAGCGAGACTTGTAAGTTTCATGAAGTGTAGGGAAGGAAAGACTGGGAAGGCCTACAAACTGAAAACGATGAGTGAGTGGAGCCTGAGGTCCACTACATTTGATGCAAAAAACTTTTTGAGTTGTTACTTGTGTTTGCATCTTGTGAGGTACTTCATAATTTGAGCTGAAATGATGGTCCTCATAAATTTCTTCGACCCCAACAATTTCAGACGATTGTTTTGACTAGTATGACTGTTGCTCCAGCACTACTATACACCACACTTATTTACTGTACTGTCTCGCGCGGGAGTGGAACCTCATTTCCTGGGAGGATGTCCAATTTGATTGCAGATGTACTGTGCTGTGTACTCCTAATACTGGAGTGAAGTAGTGATGGCAACTTTTCCACCATGCATTATGTGCGTTGGTGTCTCAAATGCGAACTTAGGGCTGTAGACATCTGGCTCGGACTCGAAATCTCATTTTGAAGCTAAAATCATGCACAGGAAAGCCAGCTACTGGCTTCGAACGTCGTAAATAATATTCGCTGATGACACGAGAATTTTAAAGTGATCTGACTTTTGCTAAAAGCCATGAACAGATGAAAGATCAGTTAGTGGATATCACTTTCTAGCTACAACGAATCAGTAAAGCAGATGAATAGTAAAGCTAATCATGCTGCACAGATACTACATACTTCGAAAGAGACAAAGGTAGGTAGTAAAAAAAGGGAAGAAGTCAACTCTTTGGAACTATTTTCTATTCCTCTACGCACACCAAACTTACCAGTAACCCTTGTAACGGGTCCAATAACTTGTATAAGGATTCCAGTAGTAAGGATTAGGTAGATAATCACTGTAACGCTAGATTGAATTTTGGAAATCCGAGGAATTTTTCCTTTTTTTTNTTTTTTTTCTAACAGAACTCAGGATAAAAACTGGATGGAATCATTCGAAAAACCGTTCGAAACATTCTTAGAGTACCTGTAATAATACCGTCTGATTGGACTGTAGGTACTGTAGTAGAGTGGTGAAAAGTAGTAGTAGCGATCGTACCAGTAGTCATCGTACTGAATAATTTTGAATTAGTTCCTTGAAGTTCAATTTAGAGCGAAAATTTAAGACCAGCAATGTCTGAACTATCAGTAGAGGCTGGAATTAGCTCCTAACGGAGGTCGGTCCAGTTGGGTGAAATGATAAAGTGGATAAATTATTGAATGCGCACCGCATTCGTCTTTCATTCAAAGTTGTAATGGCGTTTTAAATGCATACTTTGCCTACACAATAGTGTGCAGTGGCCTGCCAATATACAACTCAGTGCTTTTATACTCCCTGGCAAGTCCGGCAAAGCTCGCCTGACTTGGAGATGTATCAATGCGGTACCCGATCCCCGCCCCATGCTGTGCAACAGAGCATCACTTGCCACTAAACCACCCCTTCCCGTGAAGTTGTATAGTACGTCAAATTAGATTCGTGCCTACAATCTCGAAAGTCCAGCAAGATGCAAGTTGTAGGAAGCTACTGCGGTGATTTCGTTGCAGGACATGTTAGCCAGATAGAAGAGCTATTGGGAAAGGAAAATAAAGATGCTGATTTTAACACTACATCCCGAAATGATTCAGTCTGGCCAAGGTTTCATAGCCCATAGGATGCTGACACGGAAAACAGAAGCTGTGGTGAGGTGNCAACTCGAAAGTCCAGCAAGATGCAAGTTGTAGGAAGCTACTGCGGTGATTTCGTTGCAGGACATGTTAGCCAGATAGAAGAGCTATTGGGAAAATACAGATGCTGATTTTAACACTACATCCCGAAATGATTCAGTCTGGCCAAGGTTTCATAGCCCATAGGATGCTGACACGGAAAACAGAAGCTGTGGTGAGGTGAAAAGCCTAGTCTCTAAGTCCGACCTCGAGCAAGATCTCTCAAGACTGTGTACAGCACACGGGAGTTTGGAGAGCTTGCGAACCGTTAGGGATGAAGTTCAAAGACTTGGGAAAACACTATGTAATTGTGCTACGATATCACGCCACTCTTCAATAAGCCCATTTGTTGTAGCAATTAGTCACTAGAACATCAATGAGATCCAGATGTGCAGAAGAGATTGCAAACTTCGTATTGAAGCTTACAATCCTCTGCACCCCCAGTTTCCACTGCCACTGCAGGCGTGTAGTACTAGATTTCTCATTCTAGGGGACCTTATTCTTTGGTCGACTAGATGAGTCGTTACTCTGCACATGTACTCTGTCGCGTTAGAAGAGGCCTGAATAAACATGGGCCCATGATACGGCCTTAATCGCTATCAAGTTTTAGCCAGTACTCTGCTGTTTGTTAACGAACATAGCGGAGTATAATTTCTTCCATTGTGCACTAACTAAATAGGTTCCATGGACACAGCGAAGTATCCGGGTGGCGGTACTTCTCCCCAAATTCCTGGCCAAGCGGCAGCGGTTCCGAGGCGATTGTCGTATGCTTCCACTGGGAATTCAAACATCTCCCTTCAGTCAGAGCGCGCGATCGAGTAACGCCACGCGAATTCCGGGTAGAAGGACCCGCACGTTCCTTCTCAACGCACAAGCGAAGAAGATGCTTTTGCCGTTCTCTCATGGGCTTCTGATCATTTAAAAGAAACTCGGCTTTCGAAATGTCATTTTAGAAACGTACCAAGTCCCAATCGCGACGCCACTTGTATGGTACAGTCTGATAAACTGTATGCCACTGTGGCTTGTACCTGTCGCTATAGCGATAGTAGCCGGCAAGGTCAGAAACCGATCGACTGCGAGTCACCTGAAAAAGATGAATATCGATTGCCTCCCTATGTCATACACAAACTTATAACGCTTGAACTTCACAGATCAGAGTGTAATGTTGGCATATGCGAAGTTTCTTAGTGAGAAAAACGGCTTTTTCTTCTGTTGAACATCTCTAATATCGATTGACTGATTCCAGCCTACTTCAATCATTCTGAGGTAGAAAACTGTACAGTTCATCCCCAGACAATTTTTTCAGGTTCTGGCTGATAGCAGAACTTGTCAATCACTATTAGAGCATGTTTCACCTTTTCCTAGAATCCTTTCGTCTGCATTTCTTCAGCTGTCTAAACTTTTGGGTTTTGATCACATTCCTTTCCCCGAAGGCTGGTTTTATGTTGTAATATGCTAAGCCATGTGGTATACATTGTCAGGTAACGTTTGTGTATTTCCGTGATTGTGGGTGTTGATGTGTTCCGTGAACCAGTAAGTGGGTAATACTGAGAAACTGAGGCTGTGTTGGCGTGGGTGTCAGGACGAAAACACACATTCATTGTAACACAGCGCAGCGATGAAGAGCATGTGTGGAGGCGCAAGGAGAGACGTGGCGGAGGCCCTGAAGTAGCAAAAAATATCCGCAGTCATTAGGCTGCCCTCTGATCACCTGCAGGAGGTAAGGGAGAGACTGACGGGTGTTACTTGAATGTTTAAGGCGATGTTAAGAAGGTAATGCTGAGAAGAAACACCTTAAAAGAAAATCGAAAATCTCTTAGGAATGTTTAGCCTTCCTGTTTAGCTCAGCGACGAAACTGCATTTGTCATTACCAGAACTTCATGCCCCTCACGAAGAAAAAGCGCTCGCATGAGGGATCGGAGATCAGTCAAAAAACTCGAGCTGAGGCTATTCGGCAGCTGTTCTTTGATCGCTTGGTATCGTATCGAAGCAGCATACATCTCCCACCCCGTTCTCCTCATGGCTGGCATGCAGGATTTGTTTAAACTGGGGGAGTTATTGCTTCTGTCTCACAGACGTAGCTCTTCTGTCTAAAAACCAATCCTTTTTCTTTTCCTTGCCTTTTTTGGCGTCGATGAATCCACTCTGAGAGATGCGCCATCGCATTCGACTTCCATTCAAATCGTGATGATGTATAGTACATATGTGGCCTATACAATGAGCGGTGGCCGGTCGATGTAAAGGTCAGTGCTTATATCATCCCGCATCCCGAAGGAGTATGGTACTAATAAACCGATCCCGTAGTGATGGAAAGCTTGGTTGGCCCAGGCGGATGGCAATCCTGGATCCAAACCATAACCGGTGTGATAGGGCGCCATTTTTCCGTATACCACCTCCGCCCATAACTAACCGTTACTCATTATAAGCGTTGAATACGTTAAAGAGCAAGCCAATACTGCCAAATTCGAGTGAAAGCGGAGGTTCGCCTTAGTAGGTATTATAACAGGGGTGAATATGCAGGTATCCACGGTTTAAACACCCTCTATCTCCCCCGTCTTGATTTGCCCGATATTAGCACGAAACCTAAGCCTACACCCGGTTGCTCGATATCAGGAAACGTAGGTGTGGATCTGTCTTGCAAGATCATCACTCAGGTCATGTTATGAGGCCATAACACGGCCATCCCTTCTGCAAAACCACTAAAAGGTTAAGAATGTAATTGATTGCTGTCATCTGTCTATGGGTTGTTTCTGTTCGTTTATCCTTGACGTCAATGTTTTTATGGCTAAGCCAGTTAAGGCCATCCTGAACATGTGGAGGATCTAAAGCAGGGAATAAGTCTACGAGTATCATTTTCCACAGAAGGGTTGGTCACTGCGAGGAAGTAGCTGATATTACTCTCTATAAATTTTTGGAGATTTGTAAACACAAGGTTAAGGAGGTTTACAGCGTTGTATAGAATAGGTGAAATATAGATAAAAAAGATTAAGGGACTGACCAGTAGTGTGGGACTTCTTTCCACTGAACGTGATCGTGGTATGATGGCGCTCCTTGCGCGAACCAGTGCATAATCAGTCATACTAAAAGTAAACTTTTTTATCTGTTTTGAGTAATATTTTGAAATTCATTTCTTCGATAAAAAAAGAAACAGATGTGTGTTCGGTACTGGTCGATGCTCACTTTGAAATCTCATACGAACGATTTCCCAGGAAATGTGAAATAGTTTGGGAGTCCGAATCGAGATCTGAACCGCATAGCATGCGATTTCAAAAAAAGACATGCGGCTTTTCATTTGAGTGCGTCTTCGAGAAGTGGAAATCAATTATTCATAGATTGAGCTATATGATGTTCTGTTTGCTTTCATTTGAATAAAAACTCATTGACGTGAATGATCTTAGGACTACGTAAATTGGGGTGGTTACGAAAGTCTTGGGCCAAAGTTCTGATGTAACTTTACAGAAAGTTCAAAGAGGGCACAACTGGTAGGATTTCTACCTTGGGCCTTTATTAATAGTTAATGGTTCATGTGCTTCAGGCTTAGCTTCGACAATTATCTGGTTTGTAATGAAACACAGACACTCATCTGTTCGTCAGAGCACCCACGGCGTTTGGGAGTTGATTGAGGAAGTAATGAAAGTTATTGGATCCGAGTTTCGGAGGGCCGCAGTTGGGAACTGTGACTAACTAGGTGCCTCGGTAATCTGAGATGGCTGAAAATCTATCGAGATCAACTTTAGAGTTTGCAATCATCTTCTTTATGGGAGACCATGAATCCAAGTGCTCCCTGGGAAATTCAGTAATCTGGGAGATCACTGAGGGTACTTTCTCCCTAGTAAATGATAACTTTTCGGGAACACGGATCACAGTGACTATAGGCGCCCGTACGACATTGTAGCGTTTCTCCTATCCTTCGATAACTAAGCAACCTCAGTCATTTTCAAAATAGGATTCTACCGAACAAAATAAAACACAGCTGTACAATTTTAGGAGGTTCTTTCAGACAGGAGAGCAGATGCGGTGAATTCTCGGTGTTTCTAACATTTGTGGTCGGAGCGCATAGAGTCATTTAGAGAATTGTTTCCGCCTGGTAAGGTCTATATCAAAAACGCATTATGGTGAAGTTGAACTTCTCTCCCTCTTCTAACACACTCGCCAAGCCAAGAGAAAAATAGTTCATGTAGAGTAAAGATAAGAGAAGAAAGTCTCGAACTATAATTTGATAGAAAGGTTTATCAATAAATTAGTGGATTTTGCCGTGCTTATGTATTAAGTATGCGCAGAACATCAGAAGATTGAAGCTTTTTTCCGGAAAAATTTGCGATTGCATTGAAGCTATATGAAACTGTTATCATGTTGGTAGATAAGGATCTGATAAAGCATTACCTCATGTGATGCTCGTCGACGACTTGCCGATGCCGATGCCAACAGCAGTGAGAGAAGGGGGCAGAGTGGGCGGGCTGTCAGCCGACGGCAGCAACTGACAAACGTGATATCAAAAATAAGGCATTTTTCGTGAGAATCGACCCCGATCACATCGGCAGCGAAGAAGATCTAGCAATTGTTGGAAAGATTCGATGGTGCAATAGGTTTTTAGGTGATGAGATGATCGCTCCGATCTGTGATCTTTTCTGAAGAAATTTTTCACCCAAATCAATTCAGGAGAGTTCTGATGTCGAAGATTGGGGCAAATACAAAAGGGTCACTGCATAGGCCACTGTTATTCGAGCAGAAAGGTAAAGCATAATGGCAGTATGATTTGTGCTAGAAATCTGTGAACAAGGTTGATGAGAATGGACAGCCTTAGGGATAGCGAAATCTCTGTGGGGCACAATCTCCTCTTGTTACTTGTCTGATAATGTAGGGAAGCTCATCGATAAAAATTGGTTTGGAAAGGGCGCTGTGAAGGTCTCTGTAGGACCTTTACTACATGCATCCACTCAGATCTTTCTTGATTCTAATCTATTGCTTTCGATATACCTCAAAACAGAATCTTCTGCTTCATGACTGGGATTCGAATGTTCAAAAATGTATTTAAATAGGTTTCCACCGTCCTCTGGCAGCATTCTTCTGAATGTAGAGCGTGTGAGGGGAGGGGGGGGGGGCAGAAAGGGAAGGGGAAATTTCGACTCGACTTTTCTTCGAAAATTTAGAAAATTTACGTCATTTCATATATTTGTATCAATTAAAAATTAATCAGTGGCTCGAAAATCTTTGCTCTGAAAATCCAAATCTCTAGTTGCCATGCGATGCCATGTGGCGCCTTAACGCACTCCATCGTGCCTCCATCCACCATCAAGAACAGCTGACGAAAAACATTCCTTAGATGTCAGCTGTTTTCTTGTTTTCTTTAGGCTCACGTTAGGCTTGATGAGCACTGTGTGCTAACCAGATCCGATCAACAGATGTGTATTGTTGAGCAGCATCGGTTATATTTGTCTAGATCTGCTACACCTACAACTAGACTTTTAGCGTTTTGTTCCCTAACTGTTTAAATTGTATTGAGTTTGCACCCACGCAGTTGACTCCCAATCAGGTACGCAATGGCGTTTGAATACGTACTTAGCCTTACGATGAACTAGGTAGAGATAGTTCATGGATTAATTTTTTAAGTTTTGGAAGGGTCTGATGCCTTCTTCTGCTCTCGAGGTTCGATTGTTCAGTTGGAATGGCCGATATGTGATTGTCCCTATACCCGTGGTTGTGGCAGCAGCTTTTCTTAACACGTCACACTTCAGTAATATTTACAGCAAGGAGAAATTTCACTCACATTTTGAAGTCAAAGATGAAACGGATCCAGTGGGGGAGGGGGGAGGGGGGGAGTGGTAGCAGAGAGGCTATATGTCCACAACATCCCTTCGGATCAGTCCCTACGCAGGTCATGATATCCGCAATCTAATTAGAGAGCTTACTGAGCATAAGAGAAAAAAAAGGGGTGTCGAAAGTGCTTATCGTTGGACGATTTCTATTCCAAAATGAAGACGAATCGGTACATACTGTTGTGCCCTTTTACTCATTATGCGCAGTAGCTAGATAGATAGATAAATAAATAAATAAATAAATAAATAAATAAATAAATAAATAAATAAATAAATAAATAAATAAATAAAT